GTTACAAGGCCAGAGCAGCCACCAGGGTACTATAATCGGGCAGCTGGGGCATCCATATTTCACACTGTGATGAAATATGCTTGATCTTTAACATATGTTTATCATTTACACAGCATAAGTTTTATGCTGCCTTTAACTTTTAATGTCATTGTTTTTACGTGTCTGTGTTCTGCATACAATGTAGTGGATAATTGTACCGTTTTCATACAGCAATTTTAATGGAACTTTAAAAAATATTTTTGTTTGTCGATTTTTTAAGATTTCAGTATATCCTGGCAGAGGGGATGGGCAGCAGTAAAGCCTAATGTACAGAGCACTGTCCCTACAGGGTGCTTACATGGTACATTTTTTGTGTAATCAGGCCCCTGAAAGTGCTCTACAGCTGTGGTATTAACAAGTGCACAGCTGAAGAACCCCTTTAAAATGGCCAATTACATGAAAAAATAACCCTTGTCAAATCAGGTATTAGGTAAAGGCACTCTAAATCAGAGTGCCTTAGGGAACTTGTGTTCCCTCAAGGTTTAATTTGTTGTGCAGGGCAGGATGGGACTGGTAAGCACTAGCCCAGGCCCACTTCCAGAGCTGTCAGTGGGGGAGGGAGGGGGAAGGGAGCAGCACAGACCTGCTGCTGGGGCAGGGGCAGGGTGGAACAGAGCCCCCTTGCCAGCTACTCCAGCTGGGGTACTGGGCAGGAGGAAGCAGGCCAGACCTGTGAGACAAGGCAGCTCTCTTTCAGCCCCCACCTCCCCAAGCTCTGGCCAAGCAAAGCCCAGCCAGTAGCTCCTTGCTGCTCCCTTTCCCCTCCCTCCCCTGTTGACAGCCCCAGAGCAATGGGGTGGGGGAGGGCAGCACTGGGGAGAGGGGTGGTTCAGCAGCCTCCTTGGAGGCTATGGGAGTGTCCCTTCCTGTTGGCCAGAGCTAGTGCATGCAGGCTCGATCCCCACCCCCAACCCAACAGGCAGAAGTCTGTTAAGTTGTGGGGGGGGCTGTAATTCATGGTACTTTGTGTAAAGTGCCATAAGTTAGAGTGCAGCCCCTAAACATCTATAGGCACTCATGGTGACCAACTGTCCTGTATTTTCCAGTCAAATCTGAATGTCAGAGCTATGTCCCAGGATTCCTGAGAATTCTCTGAAGGAAGACTTTTGTCCTGAATATGAAAAATTTGTTTGGGTTGGTGTCTGCGGCTGTCCTGCTAAATCTACTTGGAGGATGTAGCACAATGCCTGGTACCATGTACTCACAGCTATGCTGCTTCCAGGTTGGGAGGTAGACACAGGCTCCATCCTGAAGCAGATACAGTATAGCTATATTCCCACAGTGCTGCATCCAGGCCAGCTAATGACTTTTCAGGGCTACATGAATGTGACTTTACTAAGTAATTCTGATGAAAGGTAAAGCTAATTTAGCAGAAGCTTAGTGCAGTATGACCGGTGACTTTGCTGCTTCCTGTTTGGAATATAGCTGCCAGTCGCTACCTCTTGAGTAACACGAGCATAGCCACATTCCCACAGGACTGCATTCAAGATAATCATCTCTGCCTCTCATCAGAGCTGATTAAATTGCCTGCAGAGCCACACCCTTCTGGCTGTGTTATAATAATTATATTGGTTCAGCCTGACCTGTGGCAAACCCATGAACGACATGTGCCCCCCGGTGGCTGGGGGGGCATGGCAGCAGCGGCGGGAGCACGGCGGTGGTAAGTGGGAGTTCTCGCAGATGCTGCTGGCGCTGTTGGCGGGGGGTGGCGAGTGGCGACCAGGGGTTGGCGACCCCCTGCAAATGCTACCGACAGCATTGGCAGCAGCCAGCAGGGATAGCTGACTGCCCTCAGACGCTGCCAGCGGTGTTGGTGGTTGGGAGGGTGGTGGCAAGTGGTGACCACCCGTAGGCACCACTGACACTCTTTTTGTAGGGGTGCACCGCCATGCTTAGGGAAAACCTGTATAATTTTAAACTGATATATTTTTTTTTCTTGTCCATACACCTAAGGACTTCCTTCAGTAGTGGCAATCCTAATTCAGTTCCTCTTTGAAAAACATACAGTGAAACTTCCTGCATTCAACTGACACACAACCACCACTGACAGATTCATCTAGGCAGTGAATTTGATTCATGCTTCCTGCATCCTCAGAGAAGCCATGAGAAAAAGCAGCCTGAGGACACCTGAAGGATTGGTATGAAAAGGATCTCTGAGCAGAAGCCCAGCCTATTCAAATCATCTCACCTGACTAGTGGTGAGCAGAATGCAAAAGCTCTGTCTGTTAGCTCCATAAGAGCTCCCTTCACATGATCCCTGACTAAGCAGATTGCTTGTTAAATTTGAGAAGGCATGGCTTCTTTTTCCCTTCCTCCTAGAGCCCCAATTCTGCCACCTAAACTGAATGTTATATCTAATTGGGAGAGACAGGCACCTGTGTGATGAATACAAAAACCACAACAGAAAACTTTCTAGTAAACATTGGCTTTTTCCTTCACAGCTCACATTGGTAAATGCCTTCTGTTTAACTGAGGTTACTGCCTTTCATTTGCCAGGTAAGCAACCATTTATTTCCTAAAGCCACTTTTTATGGATCTTACAGCAGTCTCTACTCTGCCAATGTACTTGTTGTGTCATGTAATAACCTCCATATGTTCATTATTCATGGCATAAATGTCCTGTTTTATGATCCCATCCAATTTCTCATTACCGAGTACCAAACTAATTCATAGTTTCATACATTTTAAGGCTTAAAGGGTCACTGTGATCATCTTCTCTGACTTCTGGCATAATGCAGGTGAGAGAATTTTACCTAGTGATACATTCATCAGGGATGTAAGTCTTTGTTGGGCTGGAATATATCTTTTACAAGGTCATCTTGATTTTAAAGACCTCCAATTGTGGTAAATCTACCATGTCCCATTGTAATTGGTTCCAATGATTACTTACCTGCCCTGATCATAGGAAAGCAGGACTAGAAGGGACCGCAGAAAGTCATCTAGTCCAGCCCCCTTCTTGAAGCAGGATCATCCTTAACTAGACCATCCTAGTCAAGTGTCTAAGATGCTCTTGAAAACTTCCAAAAATGGAGAATCCACAATTTCTCTCGGCAGTCTCTTGTAATGCTTGACCACTGTCATCATCAGAAAGTTCTTACTATTCTCCAACCTAGATTTTCCCTGCTGAAGCTTGAGGCCATTGTTCCTTGTCCTGTTCCCTAAGGCAACAGAGAAAAGCTCGTTTCCATTAGGCCTGTGCAAGGCTTCGGACAGAGCTTTGGATCCAGAGAAGGTTTGGATGCTTCAGGGTCTGAAGCAGCACACCCGGGTCGATGCGCTGGCCTCATTAGGGTTCCCGGAGCGGTTTGGAACTTCCAAAGTGCTTCAGAGCCACCTCGGAGACCCGGTCATAGGGCATAATGGGAAAACAATAAAATATCTATAACTTTGTTGTTTTTTGTCCAATTTGGATGAAATCTTCAGGGGTGGTAGACTCTGCAGAGCGCATGAATGCTGCCAAGCTTCAAGAAGATCAGTGCAGGGGTTTGGGGGGAACTGCACCCCAAATTCTTGAAAGCAAAACTCCTGTCACATCTATGTGTTACAACACAGGACGTTCAAAACTGCACAGCTGGTAGCTCTTGCTGAGGCCACAAAGCCTGCCAAGTTTCAAGAAGACTGGTGAGGGGTTTGGGGGGAACTGCGCCTCAAGCTGCGGACAAGCAAAACTCATGCCATGGGTGACACCGCGTGTGTTAAGGCGCAGCGGGGTGACAGCTGCAGGGATGATGGCCCCTGCTGCGGCCACAATGCCTGCCAGCTGCTGAGGAGATCAGTGCAGGGGGGTTCTGGGGCCCCACACCCCTAGCTACTGACAGGCAAAGCTTGTGATATGGGTGCTTGTGGGACTGACTGGGTCTCTTCCCATGCTTTCTGTCCAGTCAGATTTGGGTCAAAATTGACCCAAAGGAACTTTACCCCTTCCAAATACAGGTTAGTACAACCCACCTAAATAAGAATTATGGTAGTGCTCACTGAACGCAGTCCCCCTCAGCACCTACTCTTTTTCAAGTCATAGTGAACCACTACATGGCATATATTTTGACTTCCTCTTCACTCCCACAGTTGAGCTGTGCCTTTATTTCCCATTTCCAATTATTCCTGTTTCTTCACCAGCCTTAAATGTCTGGCAAACATCACAAAAATTGGCTCCAAACAGTTCACAAGAATCCCTCCGTTGGCCCCTCTCTCAGCCTGTCGCATATGATTAATGTGGCCCCACGCTCCATGAGGTGAAGCTGGACCAGGCTGCTCTATGCCATATCTGCATATACATTTTTGAAGCATCCCAGGACTTATGGCAAGGACACCCAGTTCCAGTCATGAATAGGAGCTAATTAGGGTGCAGGAAACTAATAAACTCAGGGTACTACTTGTAAATTCTTGTAGTATTTACAAATGTGCTGCTGTGGAGTTTTCTTCATGTGCATCAGCCCACATGTAGACGCTGTCCAGGCTGGCTAGGGCATGAGGGTGCTTCAGTGCAAGGGTTGCATGGCAGCTAGACACATGCTGAAGCACCTTCATGCTCCAGCCAGCCCCTTTGCAACACACTGAACCTGGTTAAAGCAGCCCCAGGCTGACCCCCCCAGGACTCTCTGCCAGCTAGGGTTGCTCCAACTTGGCTCAATGTGCTGCAGCCTGGGTGCATATGTAAACAGCATGCCCAGGAGCTTCCCACAAGCAATAAACTATTATTAAACTAAATAAGTGCTACAATTTATTGTTGCGCACTAATGGTGTATGTAGACATGCCCAATTTGTACAACATATAAGTAGGTGCCAAAGTGCAGCTCAGAAGTGCATTAATGGAGAACATTTGCTAAAACTTGCAGCAGTTTCAAAAAGGCTGAAATGCATCAATTCAATGGGTGATATATGCAAATTACTACAACTATGCTTATTTCAAGGTATTTTATTCAATTTGAGCCTCGCTTCCACATACTCAGGGAAAGCAGGGTTGGATAGTAAGGAGGAGGGGAAGAAGTTGGTGGGGGGCAGGGAAGAAGGCAGGCAAAGGGGTACCTGACTCCCCATATTTATTTTCCCTGCTGTAGCAGTAGGATGGGGCAAAATTCAAGACACATTTGCTATTTCCTCCTGAGTAGATATTGAATCATTGATGACTACTCGTTTACTACAATTGCCCAATCAGTTATGTATCCACTTTACAGTACTTTAATTTAATCTGTATTTCCTTAGCTTGTTAATGAGAATGCCATGGGAGACTATTAGAAGTGGTGCTAAAATCAAGATATATCATATCCACTGCTCTTTCTAACCAGAGAGCCTTTCACCTTATGACTGAAGCAAGTCAGGTTGGTCAGCCATTACTTACTCTTGGTGAATCCATGCTGGCTGTTTCTGATCAATTTGTTCTTCTCTAGGTCCTCTGTAATAGATGCCCTAAGTCGCTGTTCCATGATCATTCCAGGTATTGATGTCAGGCTGACTGGTCTGGAATTCCCTGGATCCTCCTTCTTTCCTTTCTTAAAGATAGGCACTATATTTGTCCTTTTCCAATCATCCAGGACCTCACCTGACCTCCACAGGTTCACAAAGAGGATAGCCAATGATTCTGAAATTACTTAAGCTAATTCCTTCAATACCCTGGTGTGCATCCCTTCTGGCCCTGCTGAGTTGAAAGCATCTATCTTCTTTGAGTAATCTCTAACCTGTTTATCTATTATCCTAGGATGTTTATCTTCTTCTCAGGGTTGCCAACTGCTCATAAATTTAAGTAAAGTCAATTTAAAAGGAAAAATCAGGCTAAAATGCCTGTGTGTAAAATATGGAAAAAAACCTTTAGGTGTCTGTAAAAACTCTAAGCAGCCAGAGCTCTTGATGGGAAAGCAGCTGGATGCACTGTTGAAACACCGAAAGAGTACAGCAGTGCCACCTGGTATGCAGCAGGAGCAGGAACAGGAGCAGGAGCGAAGCACTCTGCAGGAAGCTTTTATCCAGGGTCTTGTTGACCACTTCAGTCATGTACTATTGTTGCTGCTGAATCCTGTCAACTGCCTATAAATTGCTGGGTCAGGTAGGCTGAAGCAGGTAGGCTTCTTTAGGGGTATGTGCTTGGGGATGGGGAGAGCGAGGCTAGCAGGCATGGGTAAGGTAAGGGTGGGCTGGGGTGGGGACAGCATGGTATAAAACTATTGCTGCAGTCGAGCAGAGTTGCCAATCCAAGACTCTTTTTTCCTGCAAACATTTTACTGACAAACCAAACTTTTTTACTATGTTTGTTGTTGCATTTCTACATTTGAGCCCAGTTCTTCTAACTGGGTTCTGGAAGCATGACGGCCTGGTAGAAGAGTTATACTTACATTATGGAAAACATATCAGGAAAAACATGTATCAGTAAAAAAGATTGGTTGTCAGTAAGAAGTTTGCAGATTATCAGTAAAAAACATGTTTCTGGGTTGGCAACCCTGCTCCTTCCTTTTTCTGCCAATGGCACTCATCTAGTAGCATTCCCTATTCACGAAGACTTAGGTAAAAAAAAAACCCCATTAAATACTTCAGCCTTCTCTGAATCATCTATAACTAGTGCACTTCCACATTCTGCAAGGGACATATGGTTTCTCTGGGCTTCCTCTGATGTTTGATGTACTTGTAAAATCCCCTTTTATTTCTTTTTAGTATGTCCCTTGCCAGCTTCACCTCAGATTGTGCCATAGCCTTTCTAACTCTCTCCCTGCACACCTGTGTGATATTCTTATCCTCTTCCCTAGTACTAAGATCACATTTCCACTTCTTGTAGTGTTCCTTTTTGAGTTTCAGTGCATTGAAGAGATTGCTGTCAAGCCAGGCTGACCTCCTGTTGGACTTCCCATTTCTATTGCATTGGGACAGCTTGCTCCTAGGCTCTTAAAAAACACCTCCTTAAAGTACAACCAAGTTTCCTAGACTCTTTTTCCCCTTACACTTTCCTCCCAGGGGATCCTGCCAACCAGTTCCCTCAGTTTGTTAAAGTTGCTTTTCTGAAGTCCAGTGTCCTTATTTCGCTGCTCTCCTTCCTTTCTTCCCATAGGATCTTGAACTCTATTATTTCATGTTCCCTGTCACCCAAGTTGTGAGCAGTAAGTCATGAAGCACTTCTCCCCTAAGTGACTTCTCTACCACTTGTATCAAAAAGTTATCCCCAACACAATCCAAGAAGTGCTGGACTGCTTGTGCACTACTGTATTTCCATCCCAGGAGATTGTCCTGATAATTAAAGTTCCCCATGAGAACCAGGTCCTGCAATTTGGAAGATTTCATCAGTTGTTTAAAGAAGGCCTCATCCACCTCCACCTCCTGGCTTGGCCTGTAGTGGATGCCCACAATTATGCCCTCCTGCAGAGGGCCAGCTGTGGAGCAGTGAGTGGGACCCAGGGCCCTGTGGGGCCATTGGTGGGGGCTGGGCAATGAGGGGCATGGGTGCAACAGCCAGGGCCAGGAGGGTGTCCAGGGTCCAATGATTAGCTTCCTCGGCCTCTACTGTCTGGGTCTGGATGGCCACCTGCTGCCAGAGCAGCTCCATGCACTCCCACTCTAGGACCTCCATTCATGACCAGTGGTCCCACTGTGCCCAGTCTTGCACCTCGTCCTGGGTGGTCTCCTGGGTGATATTTTCTGCCTGCCAGGCCTGTGCCTGTACCCATGTCTCTTGCTCCTCTTCCGCCACCATCAGCCACTGGAGGAGGAGGTTCCTATCCAGGGTACGCTGCTGGCACAGCTGGTACATCTGGATTGCTCCAGTACTGGGTGGTGGTGACCCAGAGTCCTCATCCCTGCTGGGGCTGCTCTCCCCCACGTCCAGATGTTGGTCCTGCAGAGGCAAGAGACAGAAGTCTTTTGTGAGAGCTTGCAACATTTCAGAGATAAGATGCTCTACACCATGGGCCATGTGCTGACTGGCCTCAGCTACGGGGTCGGCCATGCACGGGCGCCCAGGGACCATGGTAAGTTGGCCAGGCAGGCCTGGGTACAGGCAACCGCTGACCAAGTTCCCTTGCCTCCACTTTCTTCCCTGGGGCCAGTAGACCACTGGGTGCTGACCACAGGCGGCCTGTCTCCCTTGCCCCCTTCCCAGGGTGGGACAGGTCAGGCTGTTGGCAGCACCTGTTGCTGCAGCTATAGACCCTGCTCCCCACCCTTCTTCTGTAGGCCAGCCACTCTTCTGTGCTGCCACCCAGCACACACTGCCTGGGCTTGAGGTGCATGGGACTCACAGACAACTTGGGCGAGAGGCTGGCTGTGCCCCCACCATGGGTGTGTGGTACCTCTTGAGTCGGGAGGGGCATGTGCCCCCCCTGACACCAATCTGTGACCGGGGGGGAGGGTCCCCTGGCAGATGATCCTGCTGGCCCGGGGGGGAGGGTGGGTGTCCCCCATGGTTGATCTCACTCACCATAACTCCACAGCCACTTCTGGAAGTGGCGCAGCCACTTTTACTGGCAGCCCCACTCCCCAGCCAGTGTTCACAGGGGGGCACTGGTGCTCCCACCTACACCCCTGCCCGCTGGGTAAACAGGGAGCATGGCCTGACAGGGGGTGTACCAGTGCTCCCAGGGGGTGCATGTGCACCCCCATGTACCCCCTATGTGTCACCTTTGGCCCCCACCCTCCCTGCAGGGAGCCTCTCTGGGAAAGGAGGTGCCCTGGGGCCAGCCCTGAGCATGCGCCTACTGTGTGTGCCCCAGGTGGTGTACAGTGAGCTGTTTATGCAGGCTGAGGGGTCCCCAAGCCACTATGCCCTGCTGCTGCTGATCCTCCTGGTGCCCCAGGCACACCTGCACTCCTGGTTTGGGACCCTGAGCTATGATGGCATGGGAGACAAAACCATAATGCCCTGCAATCTGTGCTGCCACCTGGAGGGATACCTGTGGCAGCGCTACATGTCCCTGCCCCCTGCTGCTAGGGATATCACAGCTGGCATTGACACCTTCATCAGGGTGTGAGAGGCCCATGCCCATCCAGCTGCAGAGACACAGGCTGCTCAATAAATTTTTGAACTGTGTCCCATCTCTTTGTGTGCTGTAGGGGGGGAGATCAGGGGGGAACTTAGGGCCAGTGGGGTGCGGGTGAGTGAGGCAGGGAGCAGGGTCAGGGGCAAGACAAGGTGCTAAAAGCCCACGGTCCCCTCCTTCGGTCATGTGTCATAGATTTCATAGACATTTGGGCTGGAATGGACCTTGCAAGATCATGGGGTCCAGCCCCCTGCCCAAGGGACATGAAGTCAGCTGGGGTCAAAGGATCTCAGCAAGATAGGCATGCAAGTGTTTCTTAAAGGTATCCAGAGTAGATGCTTGCACCACTTCTGGGGGGAGTCTATTCCAGAGTCTGGGGACTTGGATGGTAAAGAAGTTTTTCCTTAAGTCCAGCCTAAAATGGTCTTCCAGGAGTTTGTGACCATTGGACCGTGTCTTCCTTTGGGGTGCCCTGGTGAACAGACATTCTCCCAGTTCCTGATGCACACCCCTTATATACTTATAGGCTGCCACCAAGTCCCCCCTGAGGCTTTGCTTCTCCAGGCTGAAGAGTCCCATGGCTCTCAGCCTCTCCTCATAAGGCCTACTCTGTTGTTCTTTAATCATGCACATGGCTCTCTTCTGAACTCTCTCAAGCTTCTCCACATCCCTTCTAAAGTGCAGAGCCCAGAACTGGACGTACTATTCCAGCTTCAGCCTCACCAAGGCTGAGTAAAGTGGGGGGATGACTTTCTGGGTCTTGCTTGAGATGCATTCATAAATGCAAGCCAGGGTTTTGTTTGCTTTTCCAGCTGTGGCATTGCATTGGTGGCTCATGTTCATCATGTGGTCAATCATGATCCCCAAGTCTCTTTCAGTTGTAAGAGTGGTAGTGAGCGTAGTGCTGCTGAGCCTACAAATATGATGTGTGGGGGAGGGGTTTCTGAGGTGGAGCACCTTGCATATCTCCATGTTAAATGCCATCAGGTTTTGATCCGCCCACCTTGTGAGCCTGTCCAGGTCAGCCTGAATCATCAGCCTATCCTCTAGTGTGACCACACTTACCCATAATTTGGTGTCATTGGCAAATTTAGCTAGTCTGCTTCTGACACCAAAATCCAGATTGTTTATAAATACATTAAAGAGTACTGGTCCAAGTATAGAGCCCTGGGGGATGCCACTTGTCACCATGCACCATGTTGATTTGGTTCCATTGACTATCACTCTCTGGGTCTGACCATGGAGCCAGTTCCCCAGCCATCGGACCGTAAGGTTGTTGAGGCTGCAGTTCCCCAGGTTTACCATGTGGACATAATGGGAGACCAAGTCAAAGGTTTTTTTGAAGTCTAAATATATGATATCAACATCTTCTCCTTTGTCCAAATGTGTCACTTGGTCATAGAAGGAAATGAGGTTGGTCAGGCAAGACCTACCCTCAGTGAACCTATGTTGGCTCTCTCTCAGAATGTTGCTTTTCATTAACCTGTTGTTAATGTTTTCTTTGATTTTTTCCAAGATCTTATCAGGGATGGAGGTCAAACTGATTGGCCTGTATTTCCCTTGATCTTCCTTCCTCCCTTTCTTGAACATAGGCACTACGTTAGCCATCTTCCAATCTTCAGGAACCTCTCCAAAGTACCATGAGTTCTCAAATATCCTTGCCATTGGCCATACTATGATGTCAGCCAGTTCCTTTAGCACTCTTGGGTGCATTCTATCTGGGCCAGCTGATTTGTGGATGTCCAGCCTCTCAAGGTGTTCCCTCACACGATCTTCACCGATGATGGGCATGTGTTCTCCTATACCTTGGCATCTTGTTAGGCAGGGTGATCCCCTTGGGCTGACAGAAGACTGACACAATGTAATCATTAAGGAGATTAGCTTTTTCTTGGGTGGTAGCTGTCAGCTGCCCCGTTTGGTTTAGCAAGGGTCCAGTGTTGCCCTTGTATTTCTTCCAACTTGCCACGTATCTGAAGAAGGACTTTTTATTGTCCTTGATTCCTGTAGCCAGTTTGAGTTTGGTTTCACCCTTGGCTTTCCTAGTTCATTCCCTACAGGTTTGGGCCAGTGCTGAATACTCCTCCTTGGTGGTGCTACCTGACTTCTATCTCTTATAGGTTTCTCTTTTCATGGACCTCCTGTATCTGAAAAGAGAAGCCTATAAGGGATGGAAGTCAGGTAACACCACCAAAGAGGAGTATTCAGCATTGGCCCAAACCTGTAGGGAATGAACTAGGAAAGCCAAGGGTGAAACCAAACTCAAACTGGAGTGTCACTGGAGGGATCAAGGCAGGCGGGGGCTCAGGCAGGCTGCGTCTGCTGGTGACACTTGCAGGGGTACAGCCTGGGTCCCAAGGGGCGAACATGAAGGTCAGCTCCCACGTAAAGGCCATGGCCTTGCAGGCACGACTGGACCAACAACTGTAGTCAGTTGCGACCATCCACCTTACCCACAAGGTCTTGACCATTATGCAGCACTGCCATGCTGTCTGGGAGTGCCCTTCCTCCTGCATCCCACCTGACAGGGTCTCATAGATTCATAGATATTAGGGTCAGAAGGGACCTCAGCAGATCACTGAGTCCGACCCCCTGCCCTGGGCAGGAAAGAGCACTGGGGTCAGATGACTCCAGCCAGGTGCTTGTCCAGTCTTCTCTTAAAGACCCCCAAGGTAGGGGAGAGTACCAACTCCCTTAGAGGCCCATTCCAGATTCTGGTAACTCTTACTGTAAAGACGTTCTTCCTGATGTCTAACCTGAATCTGCTCTCTGTCAGTTTGTGGCTGTTATTTCTAGTTACTCCAAGGGGTGCCCAGGTAAACAGAGCATCTCCTATCCCTTGCTGTCCCCCTCTGATGAACTTGTAGACAGCCTCAAGATCCCCTCTCAGCCTTCTCTTGCAGAGGCTGAAGAGATTCAGGTCCCTCAGTCTCTCCTCATAGGGTCTTACCTGCAAGCTTCTTACCTGCAAGTTATTAGCAAGCTTTTAGGTGCAATCACCCTCCTTCAATCACAGGAAGTCTCTGCTGTTCTGGGACTCCAAGGAAGACACCTAATGGGACTCAGCCCTGCCTTAACAATAAATGCAAGATCTGTCAGTACATTTGTGACAGATGAACACAATTATCAACATTCCTCACAATACAATCATCAGAATCAGTAGATCACACACACTTAACCAAAAATATGGAATCCTAGAATCCTCATCCAGTGCACCAAATGCCTTTGTCGAAACTTTGTAGATAAAACCAGACAAAAGCTACACATCAAAATGAATGAGCATAGAAAAGATAAATAACAGAGATACTAGAACACAGGTAGAAAAATATTTTTCACAGAAAAAACACACCCTGTCTCACCAAACAGTTCTTGTGTTCAAGAGAGATTTACAAAACACCTTCAAAAGACAAGTCTGGAAACAAAAAGTCATTAGCCCGTTGGATACTAAGAAACAGGGACTTAATATAGACAATGACTTTATGGTCCCTTAGGATCTACATGATACTGGCTAATTTCTGCCTCTCACAAGTGCAGAAATTAGCACTAAACAACTCTCCTGAATGGTCTAGAGCTCTTACACTTAGCAGGTTTCTACTGAATCTCTTGTCTGTTGCCTAACTACAATTATTTCTTAACTCCCTTTTTTATTTATATATGGAGATTTAAACAAGCTCTTGTTCTATATGCTATTTAGCTCTTCTCTATCTGCTTTCTTTCCCAAAGACCTGAGGAAGGGCACTGCAGTACCTGAAAGCTTGTCTATTTTACCCATGCAGTTGGACCAATAAAAGCTATGATCCACAGGAACCCTTGCCAGGTACAGAAAAGCCATTTGGTTTAGGACAGGGGTAGGCAATTAATGGTTCCGCAGGTCATATAGGGAGTTGTGCTGAGCTGTCATGGGCTAGGTCAGCACTGCACTCCCCCCCTCCCCCCCACCCACATGCAACAATTCACCAAAACTCCCTATGTGGGATGGGGCCGTGGGTGAGGAGTATTGTTTGGGAGCGGGACAGCATGGAGCCAGGGCTCTGGGCAGATCTGGGAGGTCTGTGGGTCTGCTGCCGCGCACTGTCACCAGCCCAAGATCCTGGGGTCTCCCCAGCCCTGCCCACCTGTCTTGCTCCCAGACTCTGCTCCCCACCAGCCTGCAGCCCCATCCCAGCTGCCCAGGCAAGCATCCTGTCCACGCAGGTCCTACCCCCAGTGGTGGGTGCAGGATGGGCAGGCTGAGGTGTCTGGGTAGCAGGGCTGGGTCCATCAGCAGCGGGCAGAAGGAGCTACCATCATCAGGGCTCCTGGGAAATGCAGTCCAGCTACCACACCCCATCAGCCCCATTGTGTGCCCAGGGGCAGTGGGACTGGCTGCATGTGCCATGGCCTAGGCTGCCCTTCGCACCTGGGGACCTGCTGCAGGTAAGACCAGGGGACCTGCTGCAGGATGGATAAAATCCTTTGGCAGGCCAGATGCAGCCCATGGTCTGCATTTTGCCCACCTCTGGGTTAGGAGCTAGAACCTTGTACTTTCCCATCCCCCACTCCAAAATAGAACTCACCTCACTGCATCACTCTCCTTCTGCTTTGCTTTCCTTTCCCTGGCTCAAAACATAGCTTCTCTTGTGGTGAGTTAGTGGGAGCTTCAGGGTGATGTCTACCTTATGGCCTCATAGCCAGAGCAATTGTCTAGAAAGTGGGAAATGCCAGTTCAAAACTCTTGGGGAAGGCCTAGAACCTGGGTGAGGGACTTCCTTCTTCAACACTAATCATGATTCTTTGGCAGTTGTGTTTTGGGGATTTAAATGGAGTTATATCTGAATGTCACATGCCTCCCAAGGCTGGGGGGGGGGCACAGTGACCACCCGCAGGTGGCGGCAGTGTCAGTGGTGAGGTGGGGAATGGCAAGCACCAACCAGTGATCAGCGACAACCTGCAGACACCACCAGCAGCGTCAGCAGCAGCCGGTGGCGATCGGTGACCGCCCGCAGATGCCGCCAGAGGTGTCGGTGGCAGCGAGCGGCAACCGTCGGCAGCAGTCAATTTCAGGGGGTGCACCGCCAATCTCAGGGGGTGCACATGCACCCCCTACACGTCGCCAATGGAGTTATACATGTCCCAGTGGTGCTATTCTGTCTGTGTTATGTGGTTACATATAACCTTCTGAGTATGTAGCACAAGTGCAGGTGTGCAAGTGCAAATAGAATCCAGACTTTGTGTAAGTTACAAACATTGCACCGATGCAGCCACATATGTGCCCCTTAGGCGCATAATGGTGAAACTGGATGGGACCCTTTGTGTCCCTCTCTTCTTGTTTGATCATTCCCTAGGGCAAGTGACTAATAGTCCAAACTAAAGTTCACAAGTCAATCAATTGGAAATGTCAGATTTGATAGAAGGTGTAAATGTCTCATATTAAATGCATTTCATGTATATGCCGTGCCCTCTTACTATTCCCAGGTGATCACATTTTCTGTGCACAATGATTTTTAATTGGATGCCTGGGGTTATTGAGTGAAGGTGAACAATGACCTTACAACAATTGGTTGAAACCAGCAGGTTAAAGAGAAAGGTAATGCTGACAAACCAGACTGTGATAAGAAAGACCCTCCTGTGGTACTGATAGGAGGTCAAAGCTCTACTATACTAATTATTACATACTTTAATCTCTGCTTCCCAGATCCACAACAGAGACTGAAAGAGATGAAGGATCTAGTGAAGAAATAGCTAATAATTGCTTCATCATAACACCAGAGATCTCTAATTTGATGTCAACACTATAGCTGGTTGAAATTTTTCAAAAGAGTATTTTTCTGTCAGGAAATGCTGTTTCCTTGAAATCAAAACTTGCCTCATGAATGTGCTAAGTCACCAAATATCAAAGGAAAATTAATTAAACATTTTAATAATGCCAGAAAAGGCTATTTCAATTGTTTTGTTTCTGAACAAATTTTCATTTTGAGAATAATTTTATATTTTAAATTATGCTTTTTAAAAGTTGAATTTTAAAAAAATAATTAACCCTAAACATTTTTTTTCAAACATTTCATTTCACAGAATACTTTCATTTTTTTTCAGTGTGTTCCCAAATAGAATTTTGAAATGTTAACATTTCAGAGAACTGATTATAAGAACTGAAATTTGGCTTGGGAAAGTAAGTGCTTCTACAGTGTAGCCATCAGTAAATGAATGCAAAGTGTAAAGTAGCTCATAATCATACCAGGTGAGATGGCAACAGCATTTTAGAACATTTAGTTTGTCTCTTCTGGGGTGAAGCCTCCATTTCTCCCTCACCAATCAAGTGTCATCCCTGTAAAAAATTATGACAGAAGAACAATGGAAATGGTGGGGAGCAGAAAGAAACTACAGGTTCTGCAACAAAACAGTGGTCATGATTTTCCATTATTCTTATATAATAAAGGGCTTAGTCCGTCTTTCTGTCTGTCCATAACACTCTTGGAGCACTCTGGTTAGTGAAACAACCAGAGTGAGGAGCGGCACCATGGCAGCGAAGATGGAGGGGATGGAGTGGGGCAGCATGGCCAGCACCGCTGGCCTTACCCCCTTGCTCCATCCACACCGTCATGGTGGTGCTCCACCACCTCCAAAGAGCAGGGCCAGCGGCGCTGAAGGTGGTGGCAGCGTGGGGTGCTGATGGAGGGGGATGGAGGGGCAAGGTTCCCCCTCCTCCCCCTCAGCTCCTGGAAGGCAGCGGTGGTGCAGGGTGGTGGGTGGCGCTGCTCTGTCCCCGCCTGCCCCCCACTCCCATCATTCTTGACAGGCAATTGGCTAGTACAGTATAATGAAATAAGTACAGCAGAACCCAGATTCTTCACACAGTCGAGTTCCTTTGCCCCCTACAAAGATAAGAGTTTGTGAACTAGTGTATATATAGCCACAGCAAACAGATGTATAGAACCACTGAGACGTTGCCTGCAACTTTTATTTAAAATGACACCACTTCTCCAGTCAGCTGTGAGGAAACCCTGATGAATGGAGAAACAGTGCCCTTTGAAATAAAAACTGCAGCAAATCAGGAATCAGCTGAGTGGCTCATCCGTAATTCAGCAACCTGCTAGGAATTAACTGGGTTGTGAATCCCCAAAATACAAAAAAAATGGGTTCTACTATAATAACTTTTTCCACTAAACATGATTTCGTCAACCAAGATGCAGAACTAAATGGGCAGTATCTCCTTGAAGACAGTGAAATTCACGAGGCAGTTCTAGGTTAGAATCATTGTCTTCTTAATTTCTTCTTTGGTCATGTCCCTCTCTTCAGTGATGTCCCTGCATGAGATCACACATTTGTAAGCAAGTTTAGGCTGGTCAGTACTAAAGTTCCAGTAAAACTTCAGCATGTTTCAAGAAATGAAGGAGATGGCAGTCCAGTCCCTCAAAGGGAACAGGAGTCTGAGCATGGTGACTGAAGTGCTGACCTGACGGACCCTCATGGACCCAGAGGAACAGACATCTACTTTCAGCTTCTTCTGGGCAAAATTCAGCCTGAAGAAGGGTGTGTGCGCCCAAAAGCTTGCAAAGAAAGATTTTTTTTTGTGATTTTTGTAGTTGGTCTGATAAAAGGTATCATCTCTGAACCAAGAGTTTTAGAGCTTTGCATTTCTTTTTGTCTCAGACCAACACAGCTACCAAATACATCCCTGAAACATGGAAGATGCCAATTTTTTGTCGATTTTGGAATGATCAACTTCACTGCTAACCAACAAAGAAAGATTTCTACACCTCCCTGCCTTTCTGCTATCTGACACCACCAGGGAAGAAATACTGCCTTATTTGTACATCAAAGAGCAAGTCACACAAAGTAACTCTCAGGGACCCAGAGGAACAGACAACCTATAGGGACTTTTACTATCTTTAGTTTTCCCTCAGCCTGAAGAAGGGTGCGTGTGCCCGAAAGCTTGCAAAGAAAGATAACTTTCTGCAATTTCTTAGTTGGTCTAATACAAGGTATCATCTCTGAATGAAGAGTTTTAGAGTTTTGCATTTCAGACCAGATTGTAGGGTATTTTCTAGGCATGATGTAAAGCTCTCAGATGCTGGTGGCAAAGAACCCTTTTT